ACCCTTATCAGATATATGTCTAACTAGAATAAAGTCCAGATGGGATGGCTGGAAGCTCAGTAAGAGCTCTACTGTGGGCCAAGGCTAATACATAATGCAAAGTTCTGGCGTTTACCGACACATCGCGTCTTTCCATAAAATACTTATAGAATAGCTAAATGGATGAAAAGCTTTCTCTTTTTTTATCCATTGCCTTTGGTGTTAATTTCTTTTCCTGTTTCTGCTGTCCCCCCCCCCCCCCCCGTTTATGAAGAATAGAAATCTACCAGCTGCTATAGAAAAAACTGAAATGCAGAACGTTCTTTTAAAAGTCTTATTATTTAATCTTCTGTAAGCTGATTCAACAGTAAACCACTATTCTTCTCTGGTATATTCTGTAGGCTTTAAACATAATCATACTTAAAATTATCTTGGTGAGAACAAGGCTTGGAGTTTTGAGGACAGCTTTACAAATTTACATTATTCCTGCTTAAACAATAATTAAGAATGATTTGAATGAAATTTATGATCTTTTAAAAAGCATTATGCAAGACTGATTAATCTTAAAAGATTCCTCTGATGAAAGGGTAATATTGCTAAGATTTCAGTAAACAAAAATGATTTAGCTAACCCTAACATGTGCACCCTTTAACTGTGTAACTCTTTGAATTTATACAATACCTACCATTACGATAAGAACCTCAAAGCCAGCATTGGCCTGATTGAGGTATGAATTTCTCTCTATTAAAACAAAAATCAAACCAAACCAGATTGCTACGAAGATAGCATAATTATGTATTGTTTTTATTTGCTTTAGGGTTGTAGGTATTTATCTATGTATGGGGGATATACCCTGTAAAGCATGTAGGCATGTTAAGGCTTTTTAAAGTCAAGAGGACTGTTTGTGTTAGGAAACATTCTTGTGTCTTTTTATTTTATTTTATTTTTTATTATCCCTGTATATGTATCCATTTAGGAGGAAATGTTAAAAACTTTCCCTTCTAGGCCTTCTGCAAGATTCCTTATTCTTTACATACCATAATAATGAAATACTAGAAGCCCTCATATGCCCCAGATATTTGTGCAATATGGCACCTTAGAATGAATATTCCTCCTGGCAAAAAACCCAAGCAATGCCAAATATCACATTCAGATACACAGGGATGAAAGCTAACATGGAAGTTTGTTATTTACTACTAAAATCAATGAAATAAGATTTTCTTGTTTTAAAATACAGCTTCTTTCTTTGATCAAGAAAATACTCATAGCCATATAGCTTGAATGTAGGTTATAGGTTTGATAAATGGCCACTGTGCTTCAGTGAAGAGTAATTCTTTCTATAAATGAGCAACAACTCCTGATAATGTTTGTGTAAAGTGATTGAAGATAGAGCAAAGTACTGAACAAAAGAATGGTATATGCTGAAGGACTACGAAACCATTTTTCAGTAATAGAATAATAGTATTTGTGTATTTAGGTAGGATGGCAATGAGAGGCATTTGAAATGACATTCATACTGGATGTAAAATAGATCAATTTGATACATACTGTAATAAGATTCTTATGCAGATATACAGATACTCTTTTTCATATAGAATTTTCGTAAGGTTGACTAATAAATAGAAAACCAGAATGTAAATAAATGATGGGGAAAGGATGAAAATAGGATGCCATATGACTCAAAACCAGGCTGAATAGTATTTTATATATTAAGGAAACAAAATTTGTGAATGCTTAGAAGATTAGAATAATCAATATTAAGGAAGACTGTAGAGATCTAGAGGGATATAATGAATGCAGGTAAAGGAGAAGCTTGACAAGAATTTTGGTATTAAGTGTTATCTGTCATAGCAGAAAACACAATTTAACTAATCTTATAGATTTCTGAGAGAAGCTGCAATATGGTTGGACAGAAAAATAGATATTATTAGAGGAAGGACATGATGTATAGCTACAGAAAACAAAACACTGGACAAAACATGAATTGGTGTTTGTTATTGTTGTTTATTCTTTTGTAGTGCAGGAATGATTTCCTGTTACTGTAAAAGATGACACCTCTAAAACTGGTATGAGTAAACACATCTTGGGACTTATTGCCACAAGGTACTGCAAGCCAAGGGCATTTAAGATAGGGTTTAGGTATTTATATGAGTAACAGAGACATTCACAGATGAAAACAATTTCAAAATGAGAAATATATATCAAAGCTGTAGCGCGTAAGTAGACAGGATGTTTCTGTGTGGTGAGGAAGACCTGTCCTTGCCAGGAGTGCTCTGGCCCTGTGAGCTCCCTCAAGGACAAGAGCCTCATCCCACACAGTCAGACCTTGGTGGGTCCAGTACACAGCATGGCTCTGGCATCTTCTGGGGTGTTGCTCAGTGTTGCTATTGCCACATAAGAATATTATGTATTCCATGTAAATGTATGCATACTTACAGGTAATAAGTGGAGGTGTGCATTACTTTATGCATTTTATTTGATGCTTTCATCTCCAGAATGGTACTGAAGAGAATGTCAGGCACAACAAAGAGGTGCTAATTTGCATGTAGTTACGCGCCACTAGCAAAGGCATAAAGCTCTACAGTATTGCAACAAGCGTTATTTAAAGTATATAAATCTACTGTTATTTTTACATTAAATTCTTTTAATTGTAGAACAGGAGAACAATGTAGGAATGCTTATAATATTAAATTGTTTATTGTCCATGATTCCCTATAAAATTCCCTGCAACAGAAATGCCAAATGTGTACCTGATAACCTGCAATTAGTTATTATATGCTGACATTCAGAATTGAATTACCGTGCATAAATATTAATTAAATTTGTTTTAAACATCATTGATTAGACTGCAGTATGGAGCCCTATTATTTCTATCTATCAAGCTTACAAAAATGTGTTTTTATCTTTTGTTCTGGGTCAGGTGTTATCTTATCATGCAACATGCTCGAAGGCAGAAGTTGATAAATTTAAGGTAAGGATTTAAGTTTTTAATTATTTCTGAAAATATAACAGTAAAATAAACTAGATGTAGATTATCTGAGAGAAAAGTTTTCGTCAAAGGCAGAAAATCATAATTAACAATTACTTATGAAGGATGGATTACATGTTAGGCTGTTAGGCACGGAAGGTGGAAAAAGTCTTACAAAGGATAAAGAGCTGCAGTAATGGGTACACAGCAGCAAAATACCATTGTCCCAGCACCAGCTGCTCAACTGCGCATCAGTGTGGGTTTGGTGGCCTTCTCAGCAAGAACCACCACAGGAAAGTCATACCACAGTGGGAGGTGAGGAAGAGACTAGAGGAAATAAGAAGAACTTGAGACTTTACATGCTCATAGTGTGGAAGCTGTCCTGCGTTTGCTAAAAAAGCAGAGCATTCACTATCAAGATTGTGCATAGGCTTAGAAGGCTGGATGTGATGGTGAGAAATCCTCTTCTGACTTCAGTAAGCACCCTGGGCAGAACTGTGAAGTGTTGTGTGCAGAATATAGCATTGCTGGGGACCAATAACAATGTGTTCCCACTGAATCCTGCCTTTCCAAGCGGTAGAGAGTAGGGGAACAGTGACCTTGCTCTTTCACCTCTGCCAGCACTCCAGCACTGCTTTTATGACAGTCTTTGTCCTTTGCTGCATGAGGAAATGCTAGGAAAACTTGGTGTCACTTACCTTGGCTGTGAGGTGTCAGTGTTGTAGAGGGCTCCTCATAGCCATTTGGGAGGCTTTTGTGGTGGGCAGCAGTGTTGCTTTCTTATATGCAAAGTGCCTCGGGGACCAGGAAGGAGATCTGGGCTGTTGTGACCCCACACTGCTGGCATTCCCTGCTGTGGCTCCCCGGCACCTGTATGGCTGAAAAATTAGATGGTTGTTTTGGCATTTGGCTGGCTGGCTGCGATCTTATCTCTGAGGGTGGCTGTAGTCAAATTGGAAAGCCTGGGGTGACATAGCAGAGACTGATAAGGATGAGTTATCTGGGCTGAGGAAGGGCTGGTTAGTTATTAGTTGGTAGATTATTGCCCAAATGATGGCTGTGCCTTAGAACTCTGTATTGATATCTGGTGATAAGGGGGTAATAGTTTCCCTCCATGGTAGTTATTGGTGCAGTTACCTACCCTTTTGTAAGATGACGATTAGATAACTGAATTATTGTTGGAATCATAAATGCTTGAAGATCATTCCAATGCTGTAGCCAGCAGAAAATATTTTTGTGTGCTTAATAAGTTATATTTTATGTTTGGCAAAAAACACTGAACACTGTGTGAGAGGGAGGGCAAAAGAAAGGGTAAAGGACCATATATAATTATTTTTTTAAGGTTGGGGTTTTGTTTATTTTGGGTTTGTTGTTTTCTGGGGGGTTTTGATGTTGTGTTGTTGTTTGGTTTGGTTTGTTGGTTGTTGTGGGTTTTTTTTTTGTTTTGGGTTTTTTGTTTGGTTTTTTTGTTTGTTTTGTTTTTTTGTTTTCTTGGTTTTGGTGTTTTGGTTTGTTGTGGTGTTTTTTGGGGTTTTTTTGGTTGGTTGGTTGGGTGGGGTTTTTTTTGGTTTTTTGTTTTTTACCTTAGAATAAGCACTTGTAATACAGCTTTTATGAGAGTCAGGATTCAACCAATATCTTTCCAGATACCAGAGAGCCATACTTCTTGGTTACTTTCAACCATCGAAAGAGAGTTCTCCATCATGGTCTGCGTAGTTGAAATAAGAGCTTTCTATGTCACTCTTTGGACTTAGATACTAGTGTGACGAGGAGCTATCCTACTTGTTTTTGCAAGTGTTTCCATCAATAGATTTGCCAGTCTCCAAGTAAGGAATGTTTTTTTGTTATTCATTTTCCCTGAAGGCATGTAATTATCTATTTAATGGTTAATGATAAGGTAAAAGGAAATGAAAAGCATTTATTCATTAGTAACTATGATAAAGATTCATAACGAAGATAGCTGGGAAAATGAGGAATATAACCAATCTATGCTTAAACTAAGCTGAGATATTTTTCAAGAAAAATTTTCCCTTTCTTGTGATCCAGTTGTCTCGCTTTCAGTCCTGACAAAATGAGTGCCAGGTAGTCAGTCTTTGTTAGTGCTTTACAGCACTAGTTGTGAACAAAATAAACCCCAACAAAACCACAGGGAGGACCAGCGTGTCTTGTGGGTCTTCGACAGAGAGCTCATCCCCAGAGAGGGCCATCCATCTGTGGGATGAAATTGCTTCTGTCTCTCTGCATTGCAGAGCTCTGGCAGCCAGTCTCCCTGTCGAGGTCTCCTGGGGCATCCTACTCTGAAACCAATGCTCTTCTCTCGGTTTGTTATATTGTTATATTTTGTATAACCCCTTTGTTATATTAGGGTCATCTTCTAGACCTGACTGGCTAATAAACAATTCCTCCCTCTGGGGGGGTTTGAGGCTAAACCTGTCCCCTCTCCTTTTGATGATTTATTGGCAGATGTCAGAGGAAATGTCTGGTACAATTTACCCGATGTTCTGGTTCAGTCAGAATAGTAACAGATTCACATGACAGAAACATCTAAATGAGAGTAATGCCAACCGTTCACTACTGGCTCTTGACTGACATAGGACCTAAAGGTAGTTAATGACTTGGGAGTGACAATACATTTGAGTTGATAACTTTTCAACATACTATCCCAAACATACCATTACTGGACCCCAGCAGCATGGGAATGATCACACATTCTTCCTCCCAGTTCAAGTTGTTTATTTCCATCTCTTTCATCTTATCTCTTTATAATATTAATAAAATGCTTCTTCATTAATTTTTATTTACCTAAGATTGAAAGAGTATTCTGGTGCAAAGTAAAAAAATTACAAGTTTACTTGAAGTTTATTTTTCCTCTGACTTTTAACAGTGAATTATTTTACTGCATTACAGAAAGCAGTACAAGGTTAGTTAAAGTTGATTTTTTTACTTGAAATTTTGTCAATAATTTCCCACTGTTATTGGATGAATTCACACATACACAAATTCACATATATATGTGGTATATTTTTAAGAATTAAATATAATCACTGAGTGAAGGTTCTGAAAATACTGTTGCTACTAATCCTAAGAATTTCTGAAACAAAAAAACCCTTAAGAAATTAAAAACCCCATTTTTCCAGATGCTGGGATGGGAAAAAATGCAGAGCACCAGTGGTTGTGGAGATTAAAAAAGGGAAGTTCACAGTATGGAGCAGTGAAACATAAATGTATGATAATGGACCATGTCATGCAATTGGCCTATTCCATCTCTGATTTCTACAACTGTCTAAAGCCAAAGCAGCAACATAGATTCAAGTTGAACAGTGATTTTGCACCTTTTTTTAAGGGACCCACTTCTGTTGTTACTAGGATATAGCATTCACTGATAAAAATCTGAAAGCTAAGTTTAAAAATGCTTGCATGACTAGAAATCGTTCTATTAGTGAATGGATGGGGGGTTTTAATTAGATAATCCAATTATGTGAATTACTGTAAAAGTTCGTGTCACCAGTCCTTTTGATTATTTGCATTAAAGCTTTTGGGATTCATTAGCACTTAGGGTAGCAGGCACACGTTTCTTGGAAGGCCAGTGCCAGCAGGACTGGTGTGAGGCTCAGACACAGTGTAGGCAGGTGCTGCTCTGCTGACCTGGCTGAGCCACCCACTCGGTCCACTGCCCATGCTCAGGGGAAGTGGGAATGAAAAACTCATGCACTTAACCCAGTAAGCTTGTTTTGGTAGTCAGAGAGGGGGCTTAGTCCTTGAGTCAGACACAAGTGGATCTGCAGAGATCTGGATTCAGAGCCTGAGCAAACTACTTTGCCTCTAGCTGATGATCTGGCTCCAGGGAGGGTAATGTGAGGTTAGCCATTGATTTCAGCAAGATGTTGCTCTCTTCAGCTTTGGCATTTTGTAAAATTGCATAGTAATGTTCCCTCTGCCACCTTCCCTTTATTTAGTCATGGCAGTTAGTCTTCAGTATTGCATTTTCTGATAGAGTAACATCTTTGAAAAAGAAAAATATAATTTTAAGATCCAGTCTTCTTTTTATGCCAGTTTAAAATGTAGGTTAAATGAAACTTGAGTTGTCACACAGTGTAAATTGGGTCCTTTTCTTCCTGAAAAGATTTTAAAATAGAGAAAACGTTAGAAGCTGAATTGATACTTTCAATAACAGGCAATTGAACCAAAATAAATTGTGGGGTGTCTGACATTATTCCTATGTTCAGGATATGCACTGTACTTCCAGGATCTAAGAAGGAGGATGTGGTTTTTGTGAATGATTTATAGGATTAAAACAAGAGAAACAAAACCATACTATCTCTAGTAAATATTGTACTTAGACTTTCTGTTGCCAGATTATTTTACATTTATTTGCTGCTAAATATTTTTCAACTTTTATTATTTAAAATTTTGATTATGGTGGCTTAAAAAAAATTAAATCTGACATACTACTAAGTTCATATAAGCTGCATAATATTTTTAAGGTTTTCTGATACGTGCTGCATTACTGCAATAGGTGAATTTCTGATACCATTGCTCTAGATATAGGGAGAAAAATGAAACTTTACTTCCCATGGGCATTTGCAAGTAAAACAAAAAAAAAATCCATCTTGAGTGCAAACATATCTTTCTTATCTGAGAATGTCTCTTTGAAGCCTTGAGCCTGATTTATCACAATGCTTCTCACTTGCATCTATGTAACTACACTAAATTCAAACTCAGTTTTGGCAAGATAAGCTGAAGTAATGCACCAATGAATCATACATACATCAATATTCAGTTGTGGGGTTTTTTTTAAGTTGGAAATAGGTATGATTTTAAAAACTGTGGCAATGCAGTTCTCTCTTCTATTGTAGACATAAAAGACAGCTCCATTATTTCCATTGTGTACTAGCACAAGTGTTTAGCTATAAGCATTTTTATTATTGGAGTAGAAAAATGTAAGGCTGGTGAAGTCTGATTAATCCAAGATTGATGCTACCCTATAGCATTGTCCTGTAGTG